GGGGGAAGGGGGGGGGGGATCCCATCAGGACACAGGACAACTATCAAAAATTACATCCTTTAATCACCATCATGGCATGGGAGACGATGTACAGTTTTGAGAAAGCAGAGTCAGCCGGTCCCTGAGGCAATCGGTGGTTAAGTGCCTTGCTCAAGGGTCTCACAGTAACTCTGGGATCTAAACAACTTTCTGATCACAGGCACAGCATCCTAACCTGCTGAGCCAGAGAGTACTTAAGGGTTTAATTAGGAAGCAGGAGCAAGTTGATATAGACCCACAGATCTGGATGTCTACAGGCAGCAGCTTGCTCAGCTGGACAGCCTCGATGACAGACTCCCGACCTCACATGCCCTGATACGCCCAACGCAGCATGCAGAGCCCCATTACTAAGTGAGGAGTGAAACTCGTCTTCCTGACAAAGTGCTTTTAACAATTAACACCTCAAGCTCATCAATGTGCATTTTATTAAAGGCCCCCTTAAATGTAAGTGGCTCAAGGTTTGGATTACCATGAAAATTTCACACACATGAACACTCCCACCCTGAACACTGGCTGCTAGTGCAGTGACCCTTCTGAGGTGCATTTTAATGGTGTATTAGCTGCATGTCAATACTGGTGTTCAGTGGAGCAGGAATACAAGCTAAGAAAACCTAGACAATGAGACATTAGAGGCTACGGCAGGCACTGGATGGTACAGTACACATGAAAATACAGGCCACAGCCCAGCTGTGGCATGATACAACCTTTCAGTTAGAAGAACCATCCCAGAATTCCCTTAAGGCACAATTACTGAGATAGGAGTGTTTACACTAATCGAGTCATATCTGTGACACTATAATGTAATCATGGAACCCTGAACTGGTCTATGACTCAATCCTCTGTTCAGCACGGCCATAAAAAAGGCACCTGAAAGCTAATCAACGCTCCTAAAACGGCAAGCGGGCCAAAGCCATTTTATATCATTCTCTATACACATCACTAGATGTCACATAGCTCAAGCACATCACTCAGTTTGTCAGAAATTCTCCCCATGAGTATCTGGGGTCATGGCACAGTGGTCAGCTATGTACTCTCACACCTCTAGAGCCCAGCGTTCGAGTCTCGGCCCTGGCTCTTTTGAGTGTGGCTGTTCTCCCTGTGGCATTTCTTCTAGATTCTCTGGTTTCCTCCACTGTCTGAACAGATGCTAGGGAGGTGGAGTTGTGAGATGGTGTGAATGTGAAATGGGCTGATGCCCCAACCTGGGTTATTATTTCCTTCCTTGTGCCCGTAGCACCTGGGAAGCATAGAAGATGGATGGAATATTTAGGGGGGGAAAACTGCAGTTTGAGTCATAGGAAGTGGAGAGCAAAGCCATCACTGGGCCTGCCTGGTCATTTGCCGGTCATCTTGCCTCTTCTTGCCTTATTCAGTCCTATGCACATTTACTGCCTCTTGTACTAATATTTACTGTATTATTGACTTACTGTTTAATTGTACTCTGCTTTTAGAACCTTTATTTTTACATAGTTTTATGTTTAATTCGTGTTTACCAGCAGAAGAAAGGATATGCAGAGTGAGATTTCCATTACACAGTGTTTACTGTGCACGTGATGATAGACTTGAACGTGAACTGGTGTTCAGCCAGAAGTTGAGGACTGGTGATACATCAGAGATGGTGCAGATACGTCACTCACTCACTCACCCCCAGTATGGGGGAGGGAACACTTCCAGAAAACGTTCTAGATTAATGGTTAAAGCATCTGAGTGTGGACACATTTGCCAGAAGAGGCATGGTAAACCACAACAGAACAGAATAGTGATTTCTTCACCTGAATTTTGCCTACCCTGGGGGTCATAGCAGGGTCAGGCAACGTACAGCACCCCTGGAGCTGAGGGTTAAGTGTCTTGCTCAACGGCCCATGGACATGTGACAATCCTGCTGAGGCCAAGGCTTGAACCAGCAACCTTTCAATCAGAGGCACAGAGGCTTAGCCCACTGAGCTACACACTGCCCCCCTTGTGGACCCCCCAGCAAGGTGACTGAGCATGTGGAAAAGAGCAGTCGGCAGACACTGTGGTTTTCTTCTGAGGCAAATCTTATCTTGCAAATGGGTTTTTCTTTTTTTTTTTTTTCTTTTTTTAATTGTTTGCAAAATTAACACAATTTACATGGCCAGCAGACTAACTTGCTTATCAAGGTCTGAAATTTACTTCCTATTTCGAGCTCAATCACAAGAAAATGATTGCTGCAGTTATCACGTCACAGCTGAAAAGCCCATAATCATAAGCACAGGTTGAATGAATTCTGATGTCCTCTTGGAGACGAGAGCCGTATGAGTTAAGGCGAGGAGGGCAGCAATTGATGGAGAGAAGCAAGGATACACATGGTAGAGAGATAGGTCTGATGGCATGCAATGCTGAAGATGGTTTGCACCAGCATTGTGCAGTCAGAGACTACCATGCAAACCCCGAGCATGTGTGCATGCATGCATCTCTGTGCAAAACGAGAGAGAGAAAGTGAGAGCCCTAATGCTTCAGTAAAGGAAAAACACTTGAATAGACCTCAATAAGCAGTTGACAAGCCAGATAAAAGCCCCGAGACACAGGTTACTACAGTTCAGCTACTCCACACTGATTATACTTCTAAAAGAAGAATGCGGTGAAAAGGCTGTTTCACCTGTGAACTTTCATACCATTTTATAACTACTGTGCCCAGCAAGAAGCCAGGAATAAGAGGCTTGTTAAAATGATGTTGGAGAGCTATGTAATCTCAGGCTCCTCAAAAAAATCTATATAAAAACTAACAAACAGATATCCCTGAGCACAGACCAAGCAAAAACACTGGATTTCTGTTCCATATGACAGATGTGCTATAATGACTATTAAGGCCAAAAGGCTGAAAACTTTCATTGTGGACCAACAGCTTTGGATCCCATCAGACAAATCCTCCTCTAAAAAGACTGGAGTTTTATACTAATGGCTATGTCACTTCTACAATATCTACAGCAACTGAAAGATTAGCGTTAAACATGCAGGCCATGTAAATGGTTCTTCAATAAGACACTTGCTGGCTATATGAACCAAGGTACAGAAAGCCTTCGTCACAGTCTCTGACCCAGATGCTCACAGAGAAGCACTAGAGCTGAAACCTTTATAAACTGGCACAGTGCATCACAGTCACGGAAAAAGACATTCACAGCACATCCTGCTATAATGAACAAAAAGATGCATGTGATGTCATGCTTGGGTTTCCTGCAAGTTACACATGCCTGCTTTATGCTACATGCCCCTTATACTAGTCAATTACTATGGACACATTCTTTCGTGTTTAAAAGGGCAAAACCCTCTGTTCCACAACAATCCCATGGGACAACCTGCTCAGCAGTAGGGTTTATCCAGACCCTCTTTTCCCTGGCCTTTGATTCCTGCAGGCTCATTCCCTCTTTAACCTGGCCTTTGATTCCTGCAGGCTCATTCCCTCTTTAACCTGGCCTTTGATTCCTAAAGGCTCATCCCCTCTTTTCCCTGGACTTTGATTCCTGGAGGCTCATTCCCAGCTTTCCCCAAACCTTGATTCCCAGTCTTCCTGACACAGGCCGCCCCCGCCAGTGTGGGTACACCAGCTCCAGTGCCGGGCTCCTCATCTCCATCCTAAACCTGTCATCTGTGTCTCGAAACTCTGACAACTCAAGGTGGCCAGATAAAAGCACATCATAAGGTTAATTAAAGCCTCATTCAGAGCCAACTGCACGTCGCTGTGTGGCCTCGTCCCTTTTAACTGGCTCTGGGAGATGAGAGATTGGGTGTTTATAAGTAACATTACAAATTAGCGCGAATTTTAAGTGTACGATTCGGTTCGGAGTGGTTCAGGATGAACATGTTCCACACGCGTTCTCCATCTGTAGGGACCTTATATTTGTAGGCAAAACACTACAATCCAGCAGTTTCTGTAACCCTGTATACCGAGAAAAAGCCGCACAGCCAGAGACAAAAACGAGACCGACACGCGCGTCGCCCGTTAAGCTAACCAGCTAACAAGGCTAACGTCAAGCTAGCCCGCTAACAAGGCTAACACGGCAAAGGCCTGCAGCCTCGGATTTTCTTTCCCAGAAGCGAGGGCCACTGATCATGTTGCCAGGGCTAAGGCGACGACCTCTGTGGGCCACAGTGGCTGCCGGCACCTGTTCCGTGGATTTGTGCTAACGTGGCAGCTTAGCAGGCTCCCCCTCCCCCGCCGCTGACGTGGTTAGCGTTAGCCGGTCGAGGCTGAACGAACCGCCAACTGCATCGAGGCAGCTGGACCGTCTCCTGGCGAAACGGGCTGCACCTTGCGGGGGTCCGACGGGCCGGTGAGGTTCTCCACTGGGCATAACCCCCAATGTCTGGTCCGGTTCTCATCCCGGTCCAACTCTCAGAGCCAGATATTGTTTAAAAAAAAAAAAAAAAAAACACTGTTCGTTTTTTAAAGTACTAATGTCTTTTAAATTCCGCATAAGCTACTCGGTCTCGAGATCGCCCTTATAGCATCACTGCAGACACTACCGAACCTGCCGCTTGCATGCGCCCGGGCTCGCGCTACCACGCTCCGGCTCCTCCGGCTCTCACCTCACCGCCCGCCTGTCGCAGAGGCTCCCCTGTCCGGCCCGCAGACGAACTCTTTAATGTCTATAAACTCCCGTGAAGGTGAATCAGCGCCTCGCTAGACCGCACGGCTCGGCGCCGCTCTCCCGGTCCTGCCCTCCATCATCCTCACAGTCTCCTCCCGGATCCACGCTTCCTCACGGTGCGGGGAGAGGCCACGCCGCCCCTCGGCGTCATTTAAAGGGAACAGACTCCGGCTCTCACACCTCTGGCCACTTCGCCGTCATCTTTAATGTGACTGTATAGGTAGTTTCACCCGAAGACTTAGAGGTCTGTTGTGAAGACGGAGCCCCTGCAGTGCAAATGTGCCAGGATTATAGTGTATGCAGTGTGTGTGTGTGTGTGTGTGTGTGTGTGTGTCTCCACCTAGGACTTAAGAAAATGAACACTGAATACATATGTGTGTGTGTATGCATGTTATTTTTAGTGTTCATTTTCTAGGTCATTTTGTAAGTCCTAGGTGGAGACTGATTATACGATAAAATGATATGCTAAAACAACATAACAACTTGAAGACCAGTTTTGACGGGCTGCATTTCAAATATTTTAATTTTCTTGCCTATTTAATGTACTTAATGCATTTTGTGATGTCTCATAATGTGCCACCAATATACTATTCAGATCCCAAAGTGGCATCAGCTGGCATCCAAGTGCACACTGGCCAGAAGTGGAGTGCAGCCAAATCCCTGGAGGTACTGATGGAATATATAGGGGCAGAAGGCACTGGTGGGCACAATAGCATCAGGTCAAGCGGGCATTGGTTACTTCCCAGTAACTAGAGCTGACAAGGTGCTAGACAAAGAGTGTCAGCACCTTGTCCAGGACGAAGTACGGGTAGGTGTGGAGGAAGTACGATCTAGCAGGATGGTGGGAATGGGTCAGCAAGGAGCTGGGACTAGATGGGAGAATGTTCTGCCAAGGAAGATCACCTGGTCTGATATTTGGAAAGCAGACTTCCAGCGAATCAGGTTCCTAGTCCAAGCTGTCTATGGTGTCTTACACCTACCTGCCACCACTGTTTAGGAAGAGGATCCCTGGAACACCTGCTTAGCAGTTGGCCAAAAGCCCTTGGGGATGGACGTTATCGTTGGCACCACAATCAGGTGCTAAAGGCAGTTGCAGAAAGTATATCCACAGCCATCAAATCCTCCAAGGGTCACCACAGTAATAAGACCATCACGTTTCACAGAGCTGGAGAAAAGCCCTATGCACCACCAAGAGCACACACTGGTCTTCTCGCTACTGCTACTGATTGGAAGCTAGAAGTGGACCTTGGCAAGCAGCTGAAGTTCCCAACCAAAATAACAACCACACTGCTCTGCCCAGACATGATCATTCTGTCAGATTCCACCAAGCAACTGATCATGCTTGAACTTACAGTTCCCTGGGAAGAACACATCTAGGAGGCCAATGAGAGGAAGCGCAGTAAGTACCAGGAGCTGGTGGAGGAGTGCAGGAGGCAGGATTTGGCGAACTCATTGTGAACCTCTAGAGGTGGCTGTAGAGGTTTTGGTGGTCGATCTCTCTGCAGAGTGTTCACTCTGCTAGGTGTCAATGGACAGGAGAAAAGGAAGGCAATCAGGTCTGCAACTGAAGCTGAAGAGAAAGCCACTAGGTGGCTTTGGATAAAGAGGGCAGAACCGTGGATAAACGCTGCTGGGACACAGGTTGGGGCCTGATTAACCCTGGCCGGGTCGCCTGGGCGAGGGTGTCTGATGTTGAAAGACCCGAAACACCCTATGACCCCAGGTAACATCACTGATGATGTGTCCCAGAGCATCTGTATGATGAATCTTGCACTCAGTTTACACGGCGACACTACATTTAAATAGGCAGTAACCATTAGCCTGTGCGCTTTGAACCTGCACATTTAATTCAAGCTGTAGGGTTCCCGCCATTTGTGATGTGTTATTGATAAAAGGGCTGATAAACAATGAAGTAGCCGTTGCAGCTGTAGAGGTCAATACAGCACTGCTCATCCAGCTGGTGCATAATATGTGTGCACACCAGGGTGTGCTGGTTCATCACTTTGTACTGTAAGGCTCCGCACATGTGCTGCTCAATGTTTTTATGCATTTATACACAAATAACTTAAAAATACTGAATCTAATGCACAATGTCATTTGTTGGCCAGTACAAAAATCCAAGATGATTTCAGCAGCTTGAGGTCTATTCAGAGCCAGTAAGAGGTGTAACTTGCCAGGCTGAATGCTGACATAATTTCAGTAATCCTTCACCAGAGGTTCTTTTCCAGAACAATGCCATTCCTCATTTGGAAACCGTTTGACCTCCACAGCAGACAATACAGAAGCACATTTTGCTTGTGAAAACATGACATCCATCTGCAGAAACCATCTGTCATACTGCATATAATCTGTTTGTAGACTCTTCTCTGTCCATACAGAAACACAGCACATTATGAGGGAGTGAATGGCAGGAATTGGACATGCAGCACAGATTACTATTAGCTTGTGTGAAATTCAGGTAATTCAGTTATGAGACATACCCTTTATGATTGTTTGTATCACGTTACTACTCGGTTGATAAATTTGGGTACCCGGCTGAAAAGCAAGGGACAACCAATCAGTAGCGTTTTTTATAAAACATTAGCTGCAAGTTTTTAATAGGTTTTTGTGGCACACATTCTTGGCAGCACTGAATGTACACCCATTACATCGTCCTTCATGGATAAAATACACCTGAATGCCACCCCTACAGGAAAGGGCTCTCTTGTGCTTTAGAGTCTGGTTGGTTATTTTCATGCCTGTTATAAAGTAAAAAGCTTCATACAATAAGTTCAAAGAAATAATGTCAGAGTCATTTAATAATTCAAGTAGGTTTATTTCAGTAGGAAAGATAATAGTTAACTTGGTACCTAAAGTGTTCAAATGCTAGCTTATGTGTACACACAAAGGAACCACATTCGCCAATCTTGTACACCCTGCCTTTAAAACTGGAAAAAAAAAAACCCATTGGGATAAAAACGTTGACAAATCATTCATCATGTCGCTCTAAGAAGCTTAGGTCAAAGGTCATAGCCGTTGTTGGGTCACATGGCCTGGACGAAGGGCAGGGGCCAGGCGATGGAGGTAACGGACACTTCTGTTCCGTGTCGTGTGACGGGAACGAAACAGCATTTACCAGCTCAGGAGCTCTTTGCAATTTCCGCACCTTCTTTTTATACAGAATTCATGCACTCAGTGTCTCATTTAAACAACCCAGGAGGACAACTTTTTCACAATTCCTTGTATATTCAACACAAAGTGAATTCAGTAAGCAATTTTACCCCGCAAGTTCATGAAAGTAGTTCTTCAGACAGTATGTGTGTACACAAGAGGATATATTGTACAGTATAAACTTCACACACAAAAAAACATTCATGAGACTCATGAAAAATCCACGTATCACCTCCCTTTAGGCCCAATTATTTATAAAGTTAAGACAGGCACTGCTTGATGAACCTGCTTAAAGTCTTTGATCACTTAATTCGAAAATAACAGAGTGTAATTCCATGTGTTGGCGGGGGGGGGGCTTACAGAGGAAGCAAGGGAGGTTTTATTGGGTACAGCTTCAGTAGGAGGGGAGGACACTGGCCTGCTCTACAACACAGACCAGAAGTCATGAGCCGAATACACTCCAGGAATAAAGGATTGACAGATAATTGTTTCCACCGGTTCACGATCCATGACTTAGCTGAAGGGGCTGATTTTGTGTTTTATTTACCTTTGTTCCCCCCTAGTATTGATAGTTTTTCTCTGAGAAATGCAAACTGCTGCCTTTACACATCGGGTTTCTCCAAGGGTTTTATTTATTTCTGGACAATGAGACTTTGCATCTGGTTGATTTTCACATGGATGTTTTCAGGGCTTGTGTTTTCCTTTTTTAACAGTTAAAAAACATGCCCTGCTTATGTCCACGACTCGACCTGTAAGTCGCAGTGAACGCAGGGCAGCTGAGCAAAGGGAGAGCCGCTACATAGTAGAGAACTCTTTGCTGGTTGTACTTCCTGTACATACTTACAGTTTGCTAAAGAAGAGCGAGGGAAAATGACAGCACACGTCCCCGCAAACACGCTACGGAAGCTGCATCAGGACGGAAGGCACCAGGTACGATGGCGATGAAGCTGATAAGCGCCACGGTTGGCAAAATGGATCGGCGCCGGACACGCTGAACTTGTCATTAGTGTTTGAGGACAAAGTCACGTGTAAACATACACACATAACTAACACTAGACTTTCCTGGAAACCTGAAACCATCTTTAACACATCTGAATGCTAAAGCATTTCCCATTCCGTACCTCCACAGCTCTACCTATCAACGCGTTCTGAGACACCCACTTGCCATCTTTTCCCTTAGCTTCCGTTTCAAACACTCACCAGCTTTTCACTTTCTCCTCGACCTGCTAGATCAAGGCCACCGTGTCACATTCACATCTCACCATAAAACTAAATACTGATCCCCCTTCAGCAGTCTGATCATTCCGGGGACTTCTGGGAAATCCATTATACAGATTGTGGGGGGGAAAAAAAAAAAGATACTGAGATCTCTCGTTCCAAACATGCTCACATGTTCATACACTAATGGATTAATTTGAGGGTCAATGTGAACTGAAAAATTCCTGGTTAGACCAGCCACCCTAAGCCTGGCACAGTAATGTGATATGTATATATTTTTTTTCCCCAAAAGACTGACCTACGCTTCATAACAAGGGAAAGGGTTAGTCCATGGAATGCTGTGAAGGACCTTGAGCGTTCATTCATGTAAACAAAGAAGTAAACGAGGATTTTGCTGCAGAGCTGACGGATCACCGCAAGCCTGTGTGGATCCTTTTACGTGTACCCAGGAGTGTCACTTCCAGAAAACTGCACTCTGATTCACTGTTACCTTAACTACATCTCAGGTGAACAGACTGAAATCTCAGCACACCAGGGCACCCACTTTTAAGGATAAAATCTCACTCCTGCTAAACATGCATAATACCCACAACCACACTACAAAACGAGGACACACTTACAAAACACCCGCTTAGCAGAAACGTATGGGGGGGGGTGGGGGGGGGGGCATAGAAGTGAATTTAAAAAAAAAAAATATGTACAAATGTAACAGACCCTACAGAACAAACAAACAATGTGCAGCACTAATACTGTCAATCCCACCCCCAAGAAAAAAGATACGATAAATCGTATCAGACAGATACAAACACGAAACTCACATCACAGCTTCAGTACAGCTTGCATCTCGGGGTCATTTGGAAATAAAGTTATGAAAGTTCAGCTCCCCCCCCCAACTCCCCCCCACAGGATGGCAGGAAGGGCTTTTCTGAGAGCCTGTTTAAATGTGGAGTGTGTGGCCTGCCAAACCAGACGTCAGCAGGCTGAAAATCTGACACTCATGTCAAGAAAAGAAAAAAATACCAAAAGGAACATGGAATCAGGTCAACGTATTGGTCTGGAATGAGTCAGCTGACCTTAAAGCACCCAAGCCAGCTTAGCCCACAAGGAGAGAGGCAGAGAGAGACGGGGGGGGCGGGGGGCGGACACTGACAAAGACATAGTTGGACAGAGAGACATGTGTGTCTTGTGTTTGAGGCAAGAACACAAGACTCAGGAGGTCTGGACACATGTCACATTCTGTGGTACAGTAGTGATATCAAAAGTGATAAGTGGTTATGCAGTAATACAAGACATAGTATTTCCTAAAAATGAAAAAAAAAAAAGAAAACAAAAAAAAAACAGATTAGTGTAGAACACAGCACACAAGGACCCTCTGGGACGTCAGAGAAGCCTGGAGTGATCAGGTGATCCGATACAGAATTCCAGGCGAGGTTGTGAGGAGATTCAGGAGCTGCACTCACTGTGCTGGAATTAGGAATGGGAATGCAAGCCCTTTCTGCGGTTCGTCAAAGTGAGCAAGAACTTGTGAAGACATGGATGATGGAAGGCCAATGTCTGAAGCTGCTCCCTGTGGGTGATCCGAGAGAGCAGCGGAGAAGCAGTGTGTGTAGGAGCATCCATAAGTAGACGAGGAGGGTGTTGTGTGTGTGCGGAGGACAGTCTCTCGCACCCATGCTCCGTGCTCCTCAAGGCGGTGGTAGCAGGTCACTGTGATGGAGGTGGTGGGTAGCACCCTCCGATGGCTGCTGAGTCTCACACCCCCACTCCCCCGGAGCGGTCACTCAAAAGACATCAGATTGGCTGGGACCTACCAGATGGCAAAGGGATTCATTTTACCATTTAGGTTCATAAGTGGTGTCCTGCAATCATTCACAATTTGGATAGACAGACCATCAGAGACAGCGAGAGTGAGAAAGAGAAGGATAGAGAGTCAGAGAGACAAAGGTGGACAGAGAGGGGGACAGAGAAAGAAAAACGGACAGGCAGACAGAATGACAAAAGAGATGGACAGAGATGGAGACAGAGATGGAGAGGTGGAAACTTTTAATCAGTCATAATCATAAGTAGAGCTCTTATATTAATTTAGATAGACTGATAGGCGCACGCACACACACACACACACACACACACACAAACAGAGATATACATTTCATCAATCAAGTTCAGAAGATGAGCCCCACAATTTTAAGAGACGGGGAGACAGATGGACAGACAGGGGCACAGACAGAGAAAGAAAGACAGGAACAGACAGATGAATAGATACGTTTTTATAGCACAGCTCACAGACTGCAAAAAAAAGGCCTTAATGAGCAACTAACAAAAACCAGTAATAGTACGAAGAATGTCAGGGAAAGTACTGTATGGAGTTCTTTATTAATGGCTCAGAAATAAATAGTACTGCACAGTGGGTTGTACAGTGAAGGAATGAATGTTCTGTGAATGTGAAGTGTTTAAATTTAAAGTCAGATCTACAGGTATCGGGCTATAATTAAATGCCGCGGCTGTCCAAGCAGCCCCACTGGGTGTGCGCGCGTCTGTGTGCCGGCGCACTCGCTGATGCTTGCCTGCTGCCGGTTGCTCTGGCAGGCCGCACTCAGATGCTTAAACCACAGCAGCGCGTTCATCCGGCTCCCCGCTTGATATTTATAGGAGTTGCCTGAAAACCACAAAACATGGTTTGATTAGTCAAGACAAGATGCGATCTAACATTTAAGCCATTTTCTTTATGAGTATGCATTCGGTAGCATATTCAATCAGGGACGGTTATTAACCAGCCAAAAATGAGAGTTGATAGATTTCAGTGTCCAAAATATTTGAGTCAAACCCAGATTCAGAATCCAAATTCTCTGTGTTGAAAGTGTTAGAAATTTAAATTGTGGTAATACTGCCCATATCTCGGTTCCTGTCAACAGATGTGCATCCGTTCCACGTGGAGCCTGAAGTCTCGCATCTGCAGTAACCCTCACTGTCATCCCATCTGGATCCAGCAGGTACAGAATATAGCTGCATGAGGCCATGTCCCTCTAGGACCCCCCCCCATGGTGTAACATACATACATGGTGTCTGTACTTGCTAGTTACATGTATGTGTGCCTTGGCCCCCGGAAAAATAAGTCAAATTAAAAACTTAGCTTTGATAAATCAAGTATGATGACTATTTCTCTCTGTAAACCGCAAACCGGGGTCTTGCTTTTAAGCAGATTCAAATATTTTCCCCGAAGTCTCTTCCTGTATTTACATTTTTAAAGTGCAAGTACTTTAACCAGACTGACATTCTGTAACATTAAAGCCATTTACCATTATTAATGGCTTCCTGAGAAAACTGCACATTCACATAAACAGCTAGCTATGAGTTCTGCAATCAAATTGAAGACATGCTGAAAAATACTGTTTAACCTTTTATAAAACTATATGCACATAGAGAAATAGGTTTTCCTTGTTTATCGCAAAACCTGAAAAAAAAAATCAAAAAATGAACAGATGAGATCACTAGTTCTTGTAAGCGGTACATCAAGGGCTTTTAAAGGAACTGATTCACCATCCTACAGCATATCGGCTCAGTGCATTTGGTCTGCTGGAATCAGCCGTGAATTTCCACATGCAGGGATCAGCGAATCGCATCTGGCCATTCCGGCAGCATTATTAAACGCGGCACTGCAAATCTGGCTACAAGTACAGACAGAAACAGGTTTTTATCGCTTCCACACAAGCGACAGACTGCCGCCAAGTCTTCAGATGCACGTCGATATCAATGCGAGCGACACACTTTTGCAGCAGTGTGACAGGGTGCTATAAAAATGTAATACACACACAGAGTATTTTTAAAGAAAAAATATGACCCAATAAAACAGCAGGTAGCTTGCGAGCACATTCACTGTGCTCTTTTTAGCCTGAACATGCTCATATGCTCCAGACAGACTGAGATCAATCCAATTAACGTGCAGAAAAGTCAAGGAGGGTCCCGGTGGCTTCGATGGGTAAATCCACTCCCCCCATTACAGCCATACCATCTGTAACATAACGGAGCCATAGGAGGGAACACCCACCCCCCACCTGCCCCCCCCTCCCCCCCCCAGTGGCCAGGCTGACACACAGCTGCACTGACATCACCCCAGGCTCAGATGAGGGGGGAGACTAAACGCTCCAAGATGCAGAGTCTGACTGATAGAGTTAGAAATGGCAGGCATGCGGGCAGCAAACGTACTGATGCACTGTGTAAGTGCTCAGATCACAGGAAGCAGCGGATCAGGACACAACATGGACGGAGAAAGGGGCTGGATTTAAGGATTTAAACACAAAACCATGGCCGGACTGTTAGGGGGCGAGGCGAAGGTCCGTCCTAGTCACCGACCTCGCTCGGAGTCCGTCAACAGGAAGACGTCGGGGTGTTCTGGGTCGTCGGCCATCATGGACATCCAGCCCACCACCGAGACACTCTTGCTGGACGTGGATTTAAACTGCGGTACAGAAACATCCCCAAATGTACACTTTGAATAACACTCTTGGTCTCATACATCTGAAAGGAGAACCATTACAGTCTAAGCTGGAAGATGACACAGTGAGCCTCTGCTGGCCTGCCACACAGCCCCCTAACTGACACACTGCCAGTGATCTTTCACTGCGTTTCATTGCCTGCCTTTCAGATCAGGCAGCATGAAAGTGACACGCGTGACTTACGTGTTTCCTTTCTGTGGCTTTCAGCGACTTGGCGGGATAGTAGTACAGCTGAGTGCCACTTAATGCCACCCAGTACTTTGTCCAAGAGGCAACCTAGGTGAGAAACAGAGTGTTTTCCCATCAGAAGCTCCGTGCCATTTTCAGGTGCTACCTGCAGGTTCTGATTCAGTGGCCAAAACGTTTCACTGTGGTTATATTGACATGAGAAGGGTGCAAGTTTCCCCTAATTTAAAATGGCCAAGGCCTGACTCTAGGGGGCAGTATGGCTCCCCAGGAGAGTGGGTGCAACCCCCCCCCCCCACACACACACAACTCAGAGCAGGAACTGGGCTCAGAATGGCCACCTGTCACAGATGTGACATTAAAAACTTGTACATTTAACATGATAAATTAGCTTGTAGCTAATCAACATGTAGAAGAATCACAAGAAACTGAGGGGAAAAAAACATATCTCAGCTAAATTCGTCCATCTGTCTTGCATGAACGTGTATTTGATGCAGGGTCAGGAGGAGCACAGCCAGGACAGACAGCCATGGTGAGCACAGGTGGAGGGAGGGGAGCAAAGAGCAGGAGGAGTGGACGGAGGAAGGGGAAGCAGACCACTGGAGGAGCAGACGGTGTGAGGGGGAGCAGAGCACAGGAGGAGTGGACGGAGGAAGGGGAAAGCAGACCACTGGAGGAGCAGACGGTGTGAGGGGGAGCAGAGCACAGGAGGAGTGGACGGTGTGAGGGGGAGCAGAGCACAG